GATCTCGGTGCGGAGAAGAAGCCTCGATCGTCTGCCGGCAGACCTTAAATACCATGCGTAAGATGACTCAGCCCGTAGCACAAGCTCGCGCAGTAGAAGCGCTGATGAAAGAAATAGATAGGGTCCGCTACTACTACTATATAGTTACTATGATCTACGGGACTCTTACACCTCTTACACCTCCCCCCATTGCAAAAAAGTCCGTCCTCGGACTTGAGAACGGGGAAACTGAAGAAGAAAAGGAAAAGAAAGAGGGTACTCACCGTAATGGACATCAAGTGAGAAAAAACAACCGGCTATTCGAGCAGATCGGGCAGCGATGCGGTCGTCGTTACGGCGCCGGAATTCCGCGCCCAACGGAGTAGGATGTCCCAATACGACAAGCCGACTAAGGATTTCTCATGACCGAGCACGAATTGTCCGTGGCGACAACGGGACAGGGCTACGTTCAGTCGGTGGGGGTCGTTGAGGAATTCCCCACGCTCAGCGTCAAAGCCTGTACGTGTCGTCAGCAGGACTACGATATCCTTCTCACGCCCCTGAACGCTATCTACGGTGTGGATGTCAACTTGGGTACGCTTGGCGAAATGCTCTAGAAGGCGACTTTGCTCTTTGTAGAAGACAATGATGGCCAAAGAGTCAGGACGGACGTTCTTCGCGATGACCGGAAGACGTCGGTCAGTCATCCGGAGAGCGGCGACTTGATCCGGGCGAAGCTCTATCACGCGATCACCTACGATGGCTTCGATATTCTCGAGAGGAGGGCCATTAGGCCCAGCGTCGGGGCGAAGGGAGCCGTAAACGGCGTCAAGGACGTCGGATGCGGGAACGTTATCCTGCAGTGTATGGAATAGCTGGCGTGTCGAGATGAGTTCATACAACGGCTCGGCTCCCGACGGAAGAGCACCCAGCTTAACGCAAATGGATATCGTGATGATGCCATTGCTCGTAGTGGCAAACCGTTGAGCAGCTCGGACGGCCGAATTGTGGGCCCAAATGGGAACGGACAACCGGATGGAAAGGGAACGGTGCTCATAAGAGTGCTCCGCATTCTGGACGGTAGCACGGATCAGCGAGCGGGACCCAATTATCCAGAGAAAAACTGGGCGCTGATTGGTCCATCCGCATTCCGAGGACATATCTACGAGCGTGAGGTCGAAAAGGGAAAACGTCCATGCTGGGTATGGTCGCCGTGAGCATATGAGTACGCTTGTCATCGTTGATGGTGTTAACGGCGACGAGAGCGGAACATGCCGCATTGAACAACTGGGTCATCCGGCGATGTGCTCGGATTGTATTGTCACGATAAAGCCGGAAGTCCCCCGCGCGATCCGCTATCCATGCCCGTTCGCGAGGGGTCAGCTTGAAGACGCGAAGGGGTAAGAGTCCCTCTTCGGGGTGCGCCGGAAGGAAGTCGCGCACCAACGCAGCCAAAGTTTTAGCGGCATCCCTCGAAGCGGCATACTCCGAAAATCTCATCGCGCAGGACGAATTACTTCGTGCATGGGCAGAAACGATCTCGTCCTGTTCGGCGTCGGCTAGAGCAAACTGGCACACGGTTGGAGATACCGAGACGCTTCGGGCGCACTCTCAAAGGCGATTTTTAAACCTTTCACAGTGTCATACCGCACAACGAGAGACATGATGATACCGAATGTTCGTCGCGTTGTGGGTGGTGGAGTGACGAAGGTGAATTCGGTGACGCGGAAAAAGTGTGGATATCGCTTATCAAGGGCGGTGACCTTAGGGATGCGGGCTTGCTCCAGAGCTCGTTCCGGGTCCTTAAGAGCCGCTGCAGTAGGACCAACAGCATAGACCCATACCAGATCTTTCACTGACAACAGGCTACGATCGAATCCGCGAGTCTTGCTCACGATGTTGACGGAGAACTGATCAAGGACTATGAGGTGGAAGCTCGCGACGATCGGGTCCTGGCACGAAGAAATCTTTTGCCTCGAGAATGACCC